TGTGGACCTTAGGCTTGATCCAACCTATCGAACATGTATAGGGAATGGGTGGATACTTTTTATTTCCAGGCTATTTTTTATGTATTCCAGCAGATGGAAACAAGCTTGCAATGACTGACAGAAATCGTGCATGAGAAGATTATTTTGTTTACTGTAACAGCACTGACGTCCTATAATGAGAGCAGGAATGTATATCTTTACTTTTGTTTAAATTAAATGGATGTTATTTATAAAAGTACAACAAAATGTCTATTATATAAAATATTAAACTGGATGAAGGTGACACGTTGGCTCAGTGGTTAGCACTGTCGCCTCACAGCAAGAAGGTCATTGGTTCAAGTGCCAGCTTGGCAAGTTGGCATTTCTGTGTGGAGTTTGCATGTTCTCCCCGGGATGGCGGGGAATTGAATAAGCTAAACTGTCTGTAGTGTATGTGTGTGAATGAGAGTGTATGGGTGTTTCCCAGTACTGGGTTGCAGCCAAAAGGGCATCCATTGTGTAAAACATATATGCTGGATAAGTTGGCAGTTCATTCCACTGTTGCAACCCCTGATAAATAAAGGGACTAAATTGAAGAAAAATGAATGAATGAGTTGTATTATTTTGCATTCACTGGAAAATGTGTTCATGGATTTCATCAGATGTTTTTTCAGTGGTTGCAATAAATAGATTTAATCTTTCTTTGTTGAACTTATTTTGTCTTATTTATATAGCTACCGTGGTATAGAATTTTTTGTAATTTTTGCTTTGTTTGTTTGTTTATTTATTCATTCATTCATTTTCTTTTCGGCTTAGTCCCTTTATTAATCTGGGGTCGCCACAGCGGAATGAACCGCCAACTTATCCAGCACATTTTTTACGCAGCGGATGCCCTTCCATACCCATCTCTGGGAAATGTTTGTTTTTTTAAAGTATTTAAAATGATCTACACTTCTAAAGCTATCTGGTTAGTCAGAAAAAAAACATTTACGGCCAATTTAGTTAATCCAGTTCACCCATAGTGCATGTGTTTGGAAATCTCCAAATATCTCCTGTGATGAAAGGATGAAAGAACAGGTCGAGCAGGTTTGTAAACCCATTTCAGATCAGCTTCTTTTACTGAAGGTTAAACCCTCTGAGATTTTTAATAGCCAGCATTAAAGAATGGATACCTTGGCTTTTCTTCATCTTGTGATTCAGCTTTAATTCTGTATTGTTGAGCTTGAAGAGTATTGTTTACTCACTTTGGTGCCTTTCCTCACATTTCCTTCAGGGAAAATGAAGCAGGATATTTTGTTTTCACATAAATAACCAAATTAAAGTGTTTTGTTAAAAGAAGTATAAAATACAGTATAAAATATCTTCTATGCATGCTTCTAAAAGTGAGATTAGACATGTTTGTAAGTGCTGTAAAGGAGCTGTTTCATTATTATCCACTTGTCAACAATTAAAACTACTGATTGTTGCCGGTTCGCTGGGGCAGCAGTTCACCCAGACACTTCCTCCAGCTCCTCCAGGGGGATCCCAAGGCCTTCCCAGGAGTCCCTCCAGCGTGTCCTGGGTCTTCCCTGAGGCCTCCTCCCGGTGGGACATGCCTGGAACACCTCTCTAGGTGTCTGAAACAGATTCCTAAGCCACCTCAGCTGACTTCTCTCAATGTGGAGGAGCAGCGGCTCTACTCCGAGCCCCTCCCGGGTGACAGAGCGCAACACCCTATCTATAAGGGTGCGCCCTGCCTGCCACCCTGCAAAGGAAAGTCATTTAGGCCACTTGTATTCAAGATCTTGTCTTTTTGGTCATGACCCAAAGGTTATGATCATAGGTGAGAGTAGGAACCTAGATTGACCGGTAAATCAAGAGCTTTGCCTTTCGGCTCAGCTCCTTCTTTACCACAATGGAACGGTACATCGACCTCATTACTGCTGCCGCTGCACTAATCTGTCTGTCAATCGATCATCGGGCACAGAAACTAGCTCTTGATGAGATTTCATTCATATTTAAAATGAAAAAGTCATTCAGATCTTTTTTTTTTTTGTCTCAAAACAACAAATATTGAAAGTTTTGTTTATAAACACTGTGTATGTTTTTGCGTAAAAAAATAAGGCAAATATTTGCATCTGTCTTTTGAGTATTTGAAAAAAATTATTTTATTTTGGTCTGTCCTATTAGAGTTTGCATGTTCTCAACTTGCACTTTCAAGTAACATCAACTCAATTTTAACTTGTAGTTTTAGGTTTGTCAAATCTGTTTTTTTAAGTAAAATGTACTTATTTATTTGAATAATCTCCACAGTATTTTAAGTTCAGTGAACTTTGTGCTTTAAGTAATGCTAATACAATTCTTTTATTTTGCTACACTCTAAAAAATTTTGAGTTATTTATTTAACCCAATGGTTGAGTTAAAATATTTGGTGCTTTGTTGGATTATTTTAACCTTTATTGGGATATTTATTTATAACTCAACCAGTTGAGTTACATTTTTGGTGCTTTGTTGGGTAATTTTTAAACAATATTGGATTATTTATTTAATAACTCAACCAGTTGGGTTAAAAATGTGAATTTCAACAGTCAACTGATTTAACTGACACAGAACAGCTGTATTAATATGCGTGCCTAATGTTGTTTTTGTATTGTAAAGTTTAATTAAGCTTAAACACAATAATATTGTTATTTTTTAATCAAATTACCTCTCCAAGTCGTTTTTTTATATCTGTTTGACCAGCACTCTTAATTATTGATAAACACTCTTCATAGCCGATCTATATTAAACAGATAAAAACCTTAAGTATCTTAATAAACTTAAAATGTCATGGAAATAAAGCATTTTCAATATTTAAAAAAAAAACTGCATGTTATTTATTTACTCAGCCATAATATAAAATGAATAGTAGTACTAGTAAGAGTAGCAATAGTAATACCAGAGTGGAATAAAAAACATTTAATCAAAATAACCCAATGCATTGGGTTAAATGACATAACCCATTGCCTTGGGTTAAAATAACCCATAGTTAGGAAGGTGCTATAATAACCTATAGTTGGGTTATATGTTGGGGTATTTTTAACCCAACTATTTTAATGGAGTACCTATATTAGGTTTGTTAAATCTTTAGAAACCACACATTTAAAATTTTGTACAAACAAAAATCTTTTTTTTCCCCTACAAGTATCAAACAATAAATACAAAAACACCCAAATGCATTTATTCAATTAAAAAACTATTTTTTTTACATTATTAGAGAATTAATTTAACAGTACATCTCTTACTGTGATTTATTAGTTAAATTTATTTATTGTTATTTATTTATTAGATTTATTAGTATTTTACACTATGGGAACATCATTTCAACTTTAATTTAGTATTTAGTATACATATTCATTATATTATTGGGCAGTGCCGTGGCGCAGAGGGTATAGCGCTGTCATCTCACAGCAGAAGAAGGTCGCTGGTTTGAGCCTCGGCTGGCTCAGTTGGCATTTCTCGCTGGAGTTTGCATGTTCTCTCCGTGTTCATGTGGGTTTCCAACGGGTGCTCCGGTTTTCCCCACAAGTCCAAAGACATGAGCTATAGGTGAATTGGGTAGGCTAAATTGACCGTATTTTGTGTGAATGAGGTGTTTCCCAGTGATGGATTGAAGCTGGAAGGGCATCTGCTGTGTAAAACATATGCTGGATATAGTTGGTGGTTCATTCCGCTGTGGCGTCCACTGTTTAATAAAGGGACTAAGCCAGAAAAAAAAATGAATAATATTACTCTAGAAAAGGCTACAACTTTAACCTTTTTAACACAAGTTATAAATGACATTTTATAAAATAAGACAAGAATTAACCTCATTATCAAACATATATTAAATAAACCCTGAAAACTGGAACTTTACAGAAATTGTGAACATTTTGTTTTAGAATTCATTAATGAATAAAAAGTTTAAAGAATGAAACGGAAACATTTTGCAATATTTTTTATTTACTGTAACTGTTATCTAATTAAGGGCAGCGTGGGGGCGCAGTGGGTAGCAATGTCATCTCACAGCAAGAAGGTTGCTGGTTCGAGCCTCGGCTGGGTTGGTTTGCGTTTCTGTGTGGAGTTTGCATGTTCTCTCCATGTTCATGTGAGTTTCCACAGGGTACTCCGATTTCCCCCACAGTCCAAAGACATGCGGTACAGGTGAATTGGTTAAACTAAAATTATCTTTATAGTGTATGTGTGTGAATGGGAGTCTATGGGTGTTTCCCAGTGATGGGTTGCTGCTGGAAAGGCATCTGCTGCATAAAACATATGCTGGATAAGTTGTCGGTTCGTTCTGCTGTAGCGACCCCTGATAAATAAATGGACTAAGCCAAAAAGAAAATGAATGAATGAAATAATTATCTAATCAATTCAATGTTCTTGCTTAATAAAACACCATTAATTTGTCATTAATATGTGTACGGGTGTACTTAATGCAATATATTTAATTTAATTAGCAAATTATCTATACTCTATAATCTATGCAAATATATACTCTATAATCTAAGCAAAGCAGGCAAAAACTGGCTAGAAAACATGGAAATTGGCAATGTTGGCAGCTATTTCCATATGTTTTATAGTCAGTTTTTGCACGATTTTTTTTTTTAACTATGGATTTTGCAACCTAAAAAAATATATTGCGTTGTGTACACAACTGTTCAAAAGTTTATTAAATGCATAAATAAGGTTTTATTAAGCAGGAAAATAGTTATAGTAAACAAAAAACATGACTAAAGATGTATATATTATAAAACAATATTATAGAATATAAATTTTGCAACCTAAACTTATATTGCTTTAAGTACACTGCCGGTTCAAAAGTTTTAAAATAAATCATTAGGGTTGTATTAAGCAAGAACACATTCAATTTGTTAGATAAATAGATGAAGTAAACAAAACAATTACAAAAGATTTCCATCTCAGACACACGGCCCTCCCATCAGAACCAACATCTTTTGACTGACATGACCTTTGACCAATCACAGCAATGGAATGTTGCCGAGGGGCGGGATTTCCTTCTGTTTCAGGCAGCGCTGGATGATCTTCTGCAGCGCTAGGTGACACGTAATGAAAGGTGCGATCAGGCCTCTCTAAAACTAAGGTAATTAGTTAAAAAAGACTGCTTTTCATTATGTAGACAACTTCAGAGAGCGCTGACTAAACACGAGAACCGAATTCAGCCGGATACGTTACTTTTCTAACTACTGAGCGTCTTTGGAAAACTTGAGGGAACGTTCGTTTACTTAGCTGCTGTCTGGGAATATAATGTTTCATGAGGAATTTCGGAGGGGAAAGCGTTGTTTCTTTGCTGAAGAGTGAAGATAAATTCATTCCCGGGAAAGTTTGTGTGGAGAGCAGGAGACCAGGGATCATGGGCAACGGCGCGTGCTCCAGGAAGCAGAAGAAGATTTTCCAGTCTCTTTTTCTGGTCACGGTGGTTTTTGGCATGATCTATGGAGGGATGATGTCTTATGAGATGCACAAACAGCTGAAGAGGACAGAAGAGCTGGCCGTCAAATATCAGCAGCACCAGGAGTCACTTTCGGCTCAGCTTCAAGGTACGGTAAAAACACACTTCGTCGTGATGACGTCACATTGTAAAAAAACTGCCTTGCTTTCTTACCTCGGTGTTGCCTTCTTGATGTTTTTCCCATTTATTATGATGCTCACGGATGTATTTTGTGCTTGAACGTATATTCATGTTTATTGTAATGCTCAAATACTTATAAAAAATTCGATCACACTTTACAATAAGGTTGTATTATTTGTTAATGTATTTACTAACATGAACTAAGTGTAAACATTTACATTTAGCAGACATTTAGCCAAAGCGACTTACAAATGAGGTCAAGAAAGCAATTTACACAACTATAAGAGCAACAATGAATAAGTGCTGCAGGCAAGTTTCGGGTATGTAAAGTGTAAGACGCAAAACATTAGTAATTATTATTATTATTGTTTTTTTTTTGTAGTACAGTTAGTGGTAGAACCAGAGAGGGAATTGCAGATTAGGAAGGGAAGTGGAGACTAAATAGTTGAGTTTTTAGTAATTTCTTGAAGACAGAGACTGACTCTGCTGTTTTGATGCAGTTCGGAAGTTCATTCCACCAACTGGGCAGATTGAATGAGAGAGTTCGAGAAAGTGATTTCTTCCCTCTTTGGGATGGAGCCACGAGGCGACGTTCATTCACAGAACGCAAGTTTCTGGAGGGCACATAAATATGCAGAAGTGAGAGCAGATAAGAAGGAGGAACGCCAGAAATTGCTTTGTAAGCAAACATCAGAGCTTTGAATTTGATGCAAGCAGCAACCGGCAGCCAGTGCAAACGGATGAGCAGCGGAGTGACATGTGCTCTTTTAGGTTCATTAAAGACCACTCGTGCTGCTGCGTTCTGGAGCAGCTGAAGAGGTTTGATAGAGTTAGCTGGAAGCCCCGCTAGTAGAGAGTTGCAATAGTCCAGTCTGGAGAGAACAAGAGCTTGTACAAGGAGTTGAGCTGCATGTTCAGATAGGAAGGGTCGGATCTTTCTGATGGTATAGAGTTCAAATCTGCAAGATCGAGCAGTTCTAGAAATGTGGTCAGAGAAGTTTAGTTGGTCATCAATCGTTACTCCAAGGCTTTTCACCGTTTTGGATGCAGTAATGGTTGCCCCATCCATCTGGATTGAAAAGTTATGATGTAGAGTCGAGTTGGCAGAAATTTCAAGCATTTCCGTTTCGTGAGGTTAAGCTGAAGATGATGATCTCTCATCCAGTGTGAAATGTCTGACAGGCAGGCTGAGATGCGAGCTGGAAACAATACATGTACAGCATTTATTAATCATAGTTCAACATTTACTAATGCATTATTAACATTTATGGTTGTTAACTTTAATGCATCGTGAGAAAACTTTAACTAACAACTGTATTTTTATTAACTAATGTTTACTAACATGAACAAATACTGTAATCAATGTACTCTTTATTGTTTGTTCGTGTTAAATGCATTAATATATTGAGGTAAAGTTGGTTTTATATTGACATATTCGTACATTCACCTTAACAATATAATGTCAGAAAATTATTCTTTGCAGTTTCTAAATGGTCAAATCATATCAGCTGCCACTGACTATTAGAGTACAACACTGTTCAGTCAATTAAATAGTGCTAAATGTTTTTTTGAAGTCGTATTTACATGTGATCTCAGACCGAATATTCAAAGTCATTAACTAATACAACCTTATTGTAAAGTGTTACCTTGTTACCAAAAAGTCTTTCTGAATATTATTGTTTAGACGTAGCCTTAGTTTAAATAGAAGCATAACACATTACACATTTCTGTGGCATGAATGGAGATGAAACTTGTTTCCTAAAAGGCAATTCTTGTGTAAATAAACACAAACATTTTCTTCGTTTAAAAGTTCATATCCCAATATGGTAGTTTGAAGTCTTTATGTTAAATGGTTTAATCCTGAATGTAAAACAAAATGGTTATGTGCTACTCTTTTGTGTAGTTTTAAAATACTTTAAATTCTTCCTGAATATTATTATTATTATTATTATTATTATTATTATTATTATATAAACCCTCAGTATTGTCTCCATTTCTTAAAGTAATTGTATCAGTCTCAAATGTTCTTTTTTAGGATTTCTTTTGTTTTTTATATTGGTTAAAAGAAAATGTGTCTGATTACAAATATCTACTTAATTACTTATAAGAGAAGTTTCATTAAATCTGTCGTACATATTCAGTCAATACTTTGTTTTCAAAAAAAGATATTGAAACAAACTGCTTCTATTGAAAACAACACCCAGAGTCTCTAGCCTGTTTATTTTGGCTATGGAATTATTCTAATTTTCTCTGGAAAGTCTTTTCCCTTTTTGTCATCGAGCACTTTGAATAAAGACGTTTCCGTACTTTGGAAAAGTTATTATTATTATTTTTTTTTTGTAAATTGCAAAACAGAGCCTTTACATAGAATAAAAACATATGTTTCTTTAAATTTTTATTCATTAACAAAGTTTTAAACTTGAATTTACATAAAAACAAAAAAATATATATATTTTGCTTATTGAATGCAACATTACTTTGAGATTTCTTTTTCTTCATTGTATTATTTTTTATTTTATATATATATATATATATATATATATATATATATATATTATAGATTTATAGATATATTATAGATATATTAAAGTTTATAGATGTGTTATGTATATTATTATAGATTTATAAATATATTATAGATAAATTAAAGTTTTATAGATACGTTATGTACATTATTAAAGATTTATAGATATATTATATATATATATTATAGATATATTAAAGTTTATATATATGTTATGTGTATTATTATAGATGTATAGATATGTAATTTAAACACATATATGTAATGTATGTCTTTTTTATATAAAAAAAACTCTCTATTGATCTCTAGAAGTATTGTATTGATCCCTAGAATTATTGCTCACAATATTCAACCACATGACCACCTGTTGCGGCCTGTTGCAAAGCCCCTTGTTTAGTGGCAAAATAAGAATGTAGCTCATGGTGTCTTATTTTAATTGGTGTCAAGACTCAGTCTCTGAGTCTTTCAGAGTTTAGTTCCGCTTCACGTCACATACCTGCAGTTTTCATATAAGCCTGAAGGACTGGAATAGCTGGATCAGGTACTTTGGATTCTGCATTGCCATATTTCCAGCAATTGAGTTGAGTTGAGTTGAGTGAAAAGTTTTGTATATAGGCATCAATGTTGTCAAAATGATCACTTTTTACACAGATTTGCCAAAAAGTGATTTTATGCATGCCAGGCTAGTTGTTGGCAATGTCAATTTGTATATTAGCACCATCTGTCTGAGCACATTGTAACAGAAAAAAATATTTCATTTTTTTAACAGAAAGAGTAGTGTAGTGTTTTGATGACACAGGAGTTGCAACTCTGGCAGCTGAGGAGGCCGTTCGTTCGTTCATTCGTTCGTTAGTTCGTTAAATAGTTTGTTCATTCATTCATTTTCTTTCTTTCTTTCTTTCTTTCTTTCTTTCTTTCTTTCTTTCTTTCCTCGTCTTTTCTTTCTTTCTTTCTTTCTTTCTTTCTTTCTTTCTTTCTTTCTTCAAGCTAAAAATATAAACAAAGTAGACTATGACTAAATATAAATAAAGGCAGTATGTTACAACCAACTACCCCCCCCCCCCCCCAATAAAAAAATAATAATGCATTATTTATATAATGTTTCAGTGAAATATATCACAGCTTTAAAATGCTCCAGTGTCCCTGTATCTGTGTCAGGGTTCATACGGTTATGGAAAACTACGAAAAGTCATGGAATTTTGACATGCCATTTTTCTAGGCCTGGAACAGTTTTGGAAAAACAAAAAAAAAACACAAAGTTTTGAAAAAGTTATGGAAATTAGTTTAACAAATATCTGTCTACTTGAATTAGGGCTGCGCGATCTGACATTACAGTATTTTGTATTTCTGTATATTGCGATGTGAGTACAATTTCACCAGATGATTTAACAGGTTTATTTTGATTGATTGGGGGATTTTGTAGAGAAGTGAATCTCGAATAATGTATAACAAATAGATTACAAGCAGAGATGAAATAAAATATAGCAAAGACAAAAGTAATTTATAGATTTCAGGTATTCAGATAGAGATCGAATAATCATCACTGCACAGACTTCATTGTATATTATTGAATCTTTATTAAAGTTACAAACAATTTCTTGTGGCCGGATGTTTTAGACTCTGAAATGTTTTAGACTTTGAAATGTTCACACAGTTACAGGCCTTAAAGAAACAGTTCACTCAAAGATTAAAATGTACTCACTATTTACTCACTCACACAATAAACTATAATCCCAACATTGTATATCCTGGGATGTGACTATTGAGGATGCACACATTGCGATTTCGATGCTGAAACGTTATATTGTGCAGCCCTAACTTGAGTATAGGTTAGTTGTCTTTACTTCTTTTCTGTTCTTGGCCAAAAACATGCTCAACTCAATTTTAAAGAGATATAAAAACAAATTTAAACTTAATTGATTGTTGCGTGTTCTATGATATGCTGTAATAAATTTGAACGTCGTTGTTTTTCTTATTATTTACCACTTATATGTAGACATCACATGAAACATTACGTCATGAAATGGTACTTGAAATTTCTGAAAAAGTCTTGGAAAAGTCATGGATTTTAGTAGTAAAAATGTGCATGAACCCTGCTGTTTACACAGAACTAATTACTTAATGGGTAATCACAGTATTTTCTGTTCAGCATGTGAACACAATGACAAATCAGCGCCGTTTAAGAATGAGCTCAACACCGCTCGGATGTTAGCTGGAAATTTCAGTATCGATTTGTACTGGATTCCAATATCGTAACAATACTGGTATGGGTGTCTGTCAATACTGGGTTGTGGCTATAAGGCCATCCGTTGCGTAAAACATATGCTGTAATAGTTGGTGGTGGCAACCTCTGAAACAACCTTTCACACAGTGAGGTGTATTTGAAAGTGATCTAGACAGAAATATCTGACTGTTACTGTACCTTGAGTTGAAGTATTGAGGAG